ATGGGGGAGGGAAGGGGAATGGGGGGGCAGATCCACACCCCCCACGATGAGGGAGGGGGCAGGGGCAGGCACTGCTTAGGTGGGGCAAGGGGTCCAGAGCCACAGCTCGTGGGGGGCAGGGGAGGAGAGAAGAGGAGGTAGCTTCCACTACTGCTTGCACCCCAGGAGGACATGGTGGGGCACCTGCCCCCCGGATCTGCATGAGGCAGGGCAGGTGGGCTGCATCCAGGCTCTTCTCAGTGGGGACTGGGCTTGGAGCGGGCACCAGTGACCTTGGGAGGATGCTGCATCCACCCCAAACTTCACCACCACTCTGCTCTCAGTGCCACTGTCGCCAGCCACCCAGCACAGCCCCAGATGGAGAAGGGGCGTTGAGCCAGGGCTGCAGCTGGCAGTGGGTATGCTGGGAGCAGAATGGTGGGAAAATATGGGGTGGATCCAGCATCCTCCCACCACCACCGGCACCCGCTCCAAGCCAAGCCCCCGCCGAGAAGAGCCCTGTGCAGCCCTGGCCCCAGCCCACCCTGCCCCACACAGATCTGGGCACCCCCTCCCCCATGCCCTCCCGGGGTGCAAGCAGCAGCAGGAGCTTCCTCCCCTTCCCCACAAACCGCGGCTCTGCTCCCCACCCTGCCACCCTGTCCCTCACCATGGGGGGCATTGATTGCCCCCCCATGCCCCTTTCCCTCCCCTTCCACCACACCAGACTTACCAGCTGGAAGCAGGTACATCAGAAATGGGATCGGTATCGGCTGATATGCCTCCTTAAATATTGGGCATTGGTATCAACCCCAAAAATCTCTATTGGTGCACCCCTAGAAAATTATTAAGAACTACAAAAGCAAAAGAGCTTCTCACTCCCTGTTCTCTTCCATCCATGAATAAAAATCACATGGGAGAGTATAACAGTGGGGAAAATTCAGAGGATATGAAGCCACTGTCATGCGCATCTTGACTGGCATTTTAAAAATCCTGCTAAGCAGCTACCTTCACCTCTAGGAGCCTAGGTATCTTTAACAATCTGGGGAACGGTAACCTGAAGCTAACTGGGTGCATCTACATGTGCTATTAATGCTATATAAAGGTTTAATGCACAGTAAAATACTACATAATAAGACTTTCCTGAGAGCAAATCTGCTTTCCTGAGAGCAAAGCCTGGTACAGAGCTGCTTACTCTGCAGCAGCCAGGGGGAGCTCCAGGCTCCCCTAGGATGCTAGCCCATGGGCTGGCAAAGAGCATGGGGTCACACCCCATGCACATGGGGCCAGGAAAGCTGTCAGCTGCAGAAGCAGCTGTCTTGTTGCCCCATACACATCAGGAAGGATCCTGATGTGCAGGGGCCCAGGAGACTGTTACTGTTGCAGAGCTCTCCAGCCCCCTACACATGACTACAAGCCCAGTGCCCAGCAGGGCTTCCCCATGCAGCTGGGGGCTGGCCAGGAACTGTCCCTTATGGGGCAGCTCCCAGATAGCTCCAGGCTGCGCAGGGATTTTCCCACATAGCCCAGAGCTGGCTGGGAGCTGCCCACAGCAGCAGGACAGTTCCTGGCCAGCCACAGGCTGTATGGGGAAACCCCCGCACAGCCTAAAGCTGGGGGAGGAGGTATGCAGAGAGCTACCCCATCCCAGCCCTAGTGCTGGGGCTGACCAGGAGCAAATTTGCAGTAGCTAACTGTACAATAGACTAATTTACTGCATAGTAAATGGACTGCATGTGTAGATGGTGACTCTTTAGTAGATTAGTCTGTTGTGCAGTAAAGCACCTCATATAGACATACCCTCTGTCATTTTACTGACTAATTTACCCTTTATTTGCCTAGTACATCAATTCACTTTAAATAAAAATAAGTTAACAAGATTCCCCCTTACATATGCAACTTTTTATTTAATACAAATTTTAAAACTGTTTCTATACATTTTAATTAAATTCCAATTTCCATCCAAATGCCTCTTGACATACTAAGCAAAAAAAAAAGTTTAGCAATTGAGGGATGCATCACTCACTATTTTCTAATACAATAATATACAAAACCTGGGAGCCTACCTAAATATTTTTCAAGCTATTTAAGCATTTAAATAAACATATATGGAAACAATGTATCCTTCTTGGCAAAAAAAGAAACACCAAATTTTGTTTAGTTTAAAAACATTTGGTTTGATGACTGCCAAGAAAATGAAACCCTCCTTCAGAAACTAAGTAGCACAAATGCAGAACTAGATTACAATAAACTATTCATGGTTTCTTGTTTGCTGACTTAAGTCATAATTAAAATGTACTTTGGTTGTCACTAGCCCTACTTGGACATTAACCTTCACAAACTCCCAGTCTTTTTAATCACGTTTACTGCCCCTTTAACTTCTGCCAATTCATCAGTACTACTTGTAAGTGGTTGCAAAAACTGAATCCACAATAGTTCTACTAATTTAAACAAACTTTAATATTTAATATTTAGTGTTTAAACTGAAGTTTTCTTGGCTGACAAAAAGTACTCGTACGCAAGGGTGATTACATTTATAGTCTTTTAAATCTAAGACCTCCATATATTCATATGCATACACACAGCTGTCCTAACACCCAAGTCCCTACTATGGTGCTGCTTTTCGGCTAGGATGAATTAAACTCTGCATGATTACAAAGTCACTAGGAGGATAGATACTGAACACCTATTATCCTGAAGGCTCAGTAATAAGCAGTATTAACTCTAATTCAACAGTATCCATTAATTTAATTGCAAATATGTTAATTGAAGTAATTCCAAGTCATTTATATCCTTGAAAAGGCAGCAGGTTTCAGTAAGAGAGACTTCTAACAAATGAGGAGACATTTACAAAACCAAAAATGAAAACAAAAAACAAGATATATTCTGCTACCTAATAGTCACTTCTACATGGCCTCCCACATCTCTCAGCTGATGCTTCTGCTACTTGCTCTAGGATGATTTCACATTCAAGCAGCCAGATGGGAGTCATGATGACACACAGGGAAGGGTGTGCGTGTCATAATGTATTTGATGCATGTTTTATGTTACTGAGTCAGGCAGCAAGTAAATGTAAGAGAAACTGATAAAAGACTGGTCACTGCAGTATTTATCTGAGTAGACAAGCAGGAAAAAAATGAAACAGCCTGGTTTACAATATTCTCTTACTCGGATGCTGGTAAGACTTGGATTTATTATTCATGCAAATTTAGTACATGGTGGCACCACCTCACCAAAATTATTCTTTTTTGACACAAACAAAAAGTGTTAATGATACTGTGCACTTCCTTGAACCTGAAGCTCTGTCCATGAGTGTCACGGAAGCCTTGACCTCAACAAGGAAATAGATGATTTTTTTTTGAAGATATCTTAAACAACACAGCTCCCACATGTAGGGCCATGCTGTGTAGTTCAAGATCTCTCAGGGGAAAGCTTTTAATCTCAATTCCAAGGGGGACGGCTTTTAATGCCGTGACACTTTCGGATCAAGTGGACCATTTATACAGGATCCAGTCACACTGACGCTATTCACTGGCACAGGTAGGACTACGCAGAGGGACATTACCCAGTGAATTCATTCATATGCATTTTACAATGAATTCACCTTATCAAAGTCCTTCCAGGACCAAACTAGTACAGAAGGGAAACAAGGAGTTATTATTTGCTAATCTCTCACAAGATAAGAACTAGGGGTCAAAAGTAAAACTAGCAGACGGTCAGTTTAAAACTAACACAAGGAGATTCTCTCTCACCGGTGGGTCAGTAATGTGGGGAACTTGCTGCCAACACAGGCTGAGCAGCGTCAAAAAGGGGCCGAACACTTTTGGAGGAAAGGGGCAGCAGTAGCCACCGAGCAGAGAAGCAAGAGGCAAAGCCTCCGAGCACATCCCTCCTCAACCAGCAGTTCCCAAACTCTGACAGACTACGCATCACCAATTTAAAATGATGCAACCTTACATTTTTGTCATATAAAGTCATTATAATAAATTTTTAAAAAATTTGTTAACACGGACCACAGATTGGGAACCGCTATCCTACACACCTTACACACCGGAGGCTGCAAGGGGGAGAGGATCAGTGGGGGAGACCCAGGCGGCTCTCGCAGCCCCGCGACGCAAGGGACAGGGTGAGACCCAGTCAGCGACAATTCCCACCGAGCAGAGAAGGACCCTGGGACTAACTGGGGCCTTTGTCCCCGCCGCCCGGCCTCGCGGGCCCCCCGCTGCGATTCGCAGGGGCCGGGGCCTGTCGCCACACCACCCCCGCCCGGGCCCAGAAGCCGCCGCCACTGAGAAGCAGGCGGAGGGAAGAGAGGCGAGGCGAGGCGAGGCCGGCCCCAGCCCCAGCCCGGGCGCTTCCCCTCGGTCCCGGCTCAGCACCACCCCAACACCACACTCACCGCGCTCGGCCTGGCCCCACGGCCGCCGCCGCCCCCGTTGTGAGGAAGCCCCGCCCCCGCGGGCAGGAAGCGACGGCAGCCGGGTCGGCCCGCTCCGTAGGTCTCAGGCGCAGCGCGGGCGGGGCGGGTACAACAGGACGCTCCGTTCCCCGCGCGTTGCGCGTCATTTCCTGTTATTCGGAGCCCTCGGATGGCAAGGCCGAGAGCGGGCGGTGAGTGACGCAGCGGGGCCGGGCCGGGCCTCCCGCCGGGAGAAGGGGGTGGGGGTCGGGGCACAGGGGTCGTTGCAGAAAGTCACTGAGGAGTCAGAGACTCGGGACCCCGGCGGGAGGGTCCGGAGTTCTCCTGGTCCGTCCCCCGGCGTGGAGCAGCCCCAGCCCCGCTGCCTGCTCCGAAAAGCCTCGGAGGACGGAGACCCCGCTCCCGTCCTGCCCGGGTAGCCTCGCCACCCTCCTGCCGAGAGAGTCTTTCCTAATATCTAACCTGAACTTCCCTGGCTGCAGCTTGAGCCCGTTGCTTCTTGTTCTGTCGCCTGCCACCACGGAGAACAGTCCAGCTCCATACACTTTGCAACCCCGTGAAGGCTGCTATTCAGTCCCTGCTCACTCTTCTCTTCTGCAGACTAAATAAGCCTGGTTCCCTGGGCCTCTCCTCACAAGCCGCATCCCCCAGGCGTCTAACCATTTTCATTGCGCTCTGCTGGACTCTCCCCAGTTTGTCCACATCGTTTCTGCAGTGGGGGGCCCAAAGATGTGGCTTCACCAGTGCTGAATCACATCCATTGATCTGCTGGTAACGCTCCTGCCAATGCAGCCCAGGATGCTGTTAGCTGTTTTTGCAACAAGGGCGCTGTTGGCTGGTATCCATCTTACTGGCCACTGTCACCCCCACGTCCTTATCTGCAGAGCTGCTGTTTAGCCAGTCAGCCACCAGTGTTTTATCATCGACCCTCACCAGACAAAAACAAGAGGTCACAACGTGAACCTAGTCAGTCATCGGTTTAAAATTACCACCAGGAAGTTCTTCATTCAGCGTGTCATGAACATGTGGGACTCATTGCCACCAGATGTGGTATAAGCTGACAGTTTAGCCAGCATCAAAAAGGGATCACACATGTTCTTGGTGGAAGGGGGCATCAGTAGCTATTGAGCAGGGAGCGCAAGGTAGAGGCTCCAAGTGACAGCTTCCGAGACCTCAAATGCTGGAGGCTGCAAGTGAGAGAGGAACAGTGGGAAAGACCCTGGCCAGACCCAGCTCTGTCTCCCTTTCAGCACCTGCTCTCTGCCACTGTGACACGCAGGCCTTTTGATGTGCCATTCCTGAACATGGGCTAATGCCCACCAAGTAGAGCTATAAGTAGAGCCCCTTACTAAGGGCAACCACTAAGGGCACACAAGTGACTGTTTGACACAGGCCATTTGATATGCTGTTCACTAGCTATTAGCTCCCCTTAATAAGGGGGGAGCACTAAGAGCACATCAGTGACTGTGACACGAGACTGGGCAAGATGGACCTATGGTCTGACCCCGTCAATGGCAATTTTATGTTCTTAAATGCTGTCCTGGAGTAATGGGTCCTCAGGCACTATTGAGAACCATCTAGGCATGCAGGTAGTTCTTGTGTTGTAGATCCTGTCCTTAGTGCCATTAATAACAAACTTTCTATGCATCTCTTGCATCTTGCAAACAGATTTGTTAAGGCTGAGCGTAGTACTGTCAGGGACCTCTGAACCAAAATAGTAATTCTCTCCAAGTTGTATATAGGATTAAATAGCGAGTGGGGCTGGAAGGGACCTCCATAGGTCACATCTAGTCCAGTCTCTTGCTTGAGGACCTATCTAAGTCACTCCATTCAAATCCATCATCAAAACTCTTTGTAAAACTACCATCTGCCCTGACACAGCATAAGACATCACGCCCGAACTTGCCACAGGGAAAGCAGGGGGACTGCGGCATCCGACATCCTGCTGCTGTAAATGGATGTTGATGTGCACTTAAGAAATCCCAGGTGGTGGGTCCCGGTCTGACCTTGTGGTAGCAAGGAGAGGGAAGCAACCTCCCCCTCCCCCAAGTCTGTACCATTCTAACCATGGGATAAAATTCCTTCCTGGCCTTAAATATGGTGTCGATCTCACCCTGAGCAATGGGGCAAGACCTTCTAGCCAGGAATCTCCAGCTTTAAATCCCAGCGGGATCATTGGCACACCCCAGTCAAATTCCCCAGCCTTGGCTGCAGCCAACACCCAATGCCCCTGAGAGACACATAAAAAGACCCTATTGCATGTAGCAGAAAGGGCAGCAAGGGTGGAGAGGTGGGATTATTTAGCATATATACACAAAAGTTAAAAGCTAAAGCTTTTTCTTCTGTTTGGGAGCACTTTGTTTGAAGGCTTGAATAGGGTGTCCTATTAAATTAGTACACTATAGTTCTGGAGTGGATAGAAGCTTATTTAACCTTGCCATTGGATAAAAATAGGGTAGTGTTCTCTTCCCTTTTTAAATACAGCATTATTTTATGGAGATAAGTGTTCCCTTAATTTGGCCAATCACTTTCATTGTTTAAAAATAACCTGTGTTGGAAACAACACGCAGCATGGCAGGCTTATTTCTGTTTGGGTTTGTCCGGTTCAGAAACTGCCTTTTTTTCTTGTTCCTGTTGCTGGTTGAAACTGAATCGTTCTCGAGACAACTGAAGGGTCTGGTAGTGGGTAGATAGTGGGTAGATTTTCATATCCAGGCCAACTGTTATAGTTTAGCAGTGACTGAGCACATATCCTTCTGGGCATTTGTTTGCCTGTAAGTACTTTACTGACTGTGGTCTTATGGTCTTGTCTGGTTGTATCCTGTCTAAAGAAGGATAAGTTGCAGAAGCAGTGCAACTCCCTTAACTATTTCATCGTCTACAGTGCCTCTGCACTGACCCTGGGGGCACCTTGTTCTGCTTCTCAAGCTGCTCCCCCACTATGTGCATCACATTCCCAAAATGAGACAATTCAACTATAATAGAACGGCTTTGAGCTCTAAATCAGGGTTGTCAAATCCATGTCCTTGGGTCCAAATACAGCCTGTGGGACTGTTTAGTCTGCAGAATTTGGGGTCCCTGGATCCTAGTAGACACGGCCATCAGTGGCATCTCCCCTGGACCTGTACTGCCATCCAAACGCAGCTCAGCATTACTGCATGGCCCTGGACCTGCACTGCTGTGCAAATGTGGCTCTGCGTTGCTGCCTGCATGTGACCCCACTGCAGTTGCTACTGGTCCTGCAGATCCAGCCCAGGAGGCACCCCTGCAGCCTGAACCTGGTCCAGGGTGAGTTGACACCCCTGCTAAATCATTCCACTTAGGTGGAGTACAACCCTGCGCCTGAAATTTGCCTTGCTTAGTGTGATTTTAGCATACTTCTGAGCAAAGGGTGTACATGCTGTTTTTTAGGTTTTGTTTCTTGTGTTGTATGTCAGGCTAGAATGAAAGATTTTTTAGATAAATGCATAATATATTCAAGCTGATGGGGCTTGCTGATATTCCTCCTTGAGCATTAAACTAGCTCAGTGGTTCTCAACCTTGTTAGACTCAAAGAACCCCTTGTTAGACTTGAGAAACTCCTCCATAACTTTTAGATATTGAACACAGCACCCTATTTAAAAAATGAATGCATTTATTACAGTGCTTGCCTCTTTGCAGAAGGGTCAGGCAGTGGGGGCAGGAGA